GTGCGATTTCCTTTTTGTTGCGATGGCTACTGACCTTCTTACATGATAGAGAGGAAATGACTTATCAAGACAAAAATGTGTTACAACTTAATGAATTAGTGCTTAGAGCTTGAGAAATAAATGCATATTTTAAAAGAAAAGATAGTCAAACCTGTTAGAGATATAAAAGAGAACTTCAGGTCAAAGGCAATCTTATTACTTAAATTAGGCAACAATAAAGCAAACAATGAGATGCAATTGAAATCTATGGCAATAATTCCTTGGGCATGAAATATGGTTTGTTAAATATTTTGCTTCCAGCATTTAAAAATTTTTAAGTTAAATATTTTATTGAGTTTTGAAATACTGTGGAAGGGCTTCAGTGTACAATGAACAATTCTGTAATGGCATATGTCATTCTACAACAAGCACTAAATGTAATTTCCACCCATCAAGCAATCTATTCCCCTAGACATATTCCACATCCACACTTGTGCACCACTGGCAACTATCATTCTGAGAGTCTGAATTTAGTTTTGGTTAGTATTGTTGGTTGGTTTCCTTTGCTTTTTATATTCCTCAAATGAGCAAAATCATGTGGTATTTGTCTTTCTTCTTTCAACAAAACAGGCAGATCTACTGAAATACCCTACTGACAGGAGCAACAGGCAAGACAGGAGAGGTCTGCTGTGCCATGTGGGTCAGCTCCCTGGCCAGGGATGGAACTCCTGATGCAATGACTAGCCAGTTTTTTCAGGAAAGGTCTCATGATCCTTTTTCTTGTGGATCTGAGGGAGCTCTGTTTGGGACTGCCTCAGGCTATGACTGTCTAGGATTTTAATTTGTCCTTTCCTCTCCTAAAAGTCTGCAGCTTGATAGCATTGATTTTAACCCATGGGGGAGGCTCCTGGCCCTGAGTCTTATAATTCTGGCATTGAGAACTCTGTTCCCCACCAATGTCAGTGAAGAAGGTCTCAGGAGCAGACAGACTCCAATATCTGTTTGGTTCAGCTCCTCTCTTCTTTTCTGGTTTCCAGTCCTGCCCAGAGTCCCCAGTGACATCTCTGATGTTTTCCTTCCCCAATTAAAAAAGGAGGAAGCCTCACTCATGTTGCTACATCTCTGAACCAGGGACTTGGTTCCGCCATCCCGAGAAATACTATAGGTAGGGCTAATGTACTAGGTGGCCAGATGCGCTGGTCTCATGGTCCTTTCTTTTGTGGATTTGAGGAGCTCTATTGGGGACTTCCCCAGACTATGACTATCTAGGGTTTGGATTTGTCCTTTTCCTCTCCTGAAAGTCTGCAGGAGGGATGCAGATGTCTAAAAAAAATCTAAGTGGAGCGGGAGTTAGAATGGAAGGGAAAACCTGCCCTTAGCCTGTGCCAGGGTCCCACCCCCAGCATACATGGAGGAAGAAGCCAGCTCCCCCATCCTGAATCCCCGAGAGTCGGAAACCCTGAGACCCTGGTAGCATAGGGCTCCCCTGGGCCCACCGCTGCCTGCGGCCTAGACTGCTGCAGGGGTGTGCCAGTGTCTGGTGCCTGAGACTGAGGCCTGGCCATGTTGAAGCATATGGCTCCCCTCTCTGGCCTCACTAGAAAGGTTTTATTTTATTTTATTTTTTTAAAGATTTATTTATTTGTGCATACAGAACTGGGGTACAGGCCAGAGATGCAGGGGCGGTGAGAGGATTCACCAGAGACAGTGGCGAGCAGAGCAGGCAGATCATCTAAGTACATTGTTGAGGGGAGCAGCGGGCAGGTCAGGAGAGGAGAGGTCTGCGGTGCCATGTGGTCACCTCTGGAATAGGCAGAGATCGAACTCATTCGGAAGTGGCTTTAGCTTCTTAGTGCTGTGCTTTAACCTGCTGCACCACCAGGGAGGGCCCCTAAAAAGGTTTAATGGTATAATGGCATGCCCACCTAGAACCATTCAAATAAATCCTTGAAAAGAGAAGACCCTATCTTTTGTAAAGCACAAAGAAAAAAAATAGGTTTAGACTTGCTTTATTTACTACAGTGAGATTTTAAATCATTGGGAAATAAGTATGAATGATTTTTATTGATGTAATCTAAAGGATCAAGCCACAATAGGGAGATTTATTGCTTAGTCCCTTCAAATACTGACTATATTCTTGAGAAAATGCTCTTAAATGACTAATATGTTTAAAGTAGCATTATTAAAGTAAATTAGTATCACTCTGCTTAATGAGGGAAGAGAGAGTTATTGAGAGTTATAGTACTGCAAGAAATAAACAAGAGTGCTATCAATGAACACTTGCTAAAATTGAGGGGGAAAAGTGAAAGGAAATTGAAAATAACACAGCACTGTCAGGTGCCACCATTTCCTACCAAGATCTGATCTTCTGGAAGCTGGGAAGACTGACTGCTGTTTATGTAGTGGTCACCAGGAGCAAGCAATATATTGGCCACTGAATCTGGATAAACCCTAAAATTCCTATTTAAGCTCAAGTGATGCTTGTTTCTGCATGAGGACCCTGGTAAATTTTGTCTCGCTAAGGAATTTATTAAAGTAAAGGGCTCAGAGACATGACTTGGCTCCCTTTCCTTAAAGGCAGGCAGGAAATTCTGGTGGGTGCATGTTCAAGATCTCTGGCAGCAAAGACTCAGGAGAAAGCCTCAGGAGTTTGCTATTGAACCTAATATTTGTGAATAAATAGGACTTTTGCCTGTTCTAATATTTGTTCGTTCTCTTTTCGAAATAATCTGCTTTCATTATTTAATTAGGAAATAAAATAAATGTTCAAAGTTTATAAACATCAGTAAATGTGCACCATGAGGAATCTAAATTAAACAACATCTTCATTTAGGTTCCAGATGAACTTCAAGGGGGTGTCCTTCATCTTCACTTGGAAAATCTTACTGAATCGTTCACTCTGTTCAACAGTCAGATGAGTTTTCCAGTCTCCAACAATACCTTGTGAAAAAAGGAAAAAGAAATTACTGAGTAACTGTTTGGGGGGAAAGTGTGAGTGTCGGGAAACATAACAGTGATGGGAGAAACATTCTTTTCCACACATTTCTTCTTGTTTCCACTAAGTTCCTAGCTGCTCTTTAGCTTGGCTCTGACTCTCACTTTCCCACTTTATGGCAGCAGATACAGAAGTCAATTGTGTCTGTAGTTTTACCATAAGTAGGACTATAATTAGTGACCTGGGAAAAAAGAAAATTATTACAACTTGATCCCTGACCTGTTCCAGGTTAACATTGGTTATTATATTTTAGAAAAGTCCTTTTAAAATTCCAGTTAGGTCAGATATTATGGCAGTACCATATAATGAAGTGAAAAACAGCTCCCACTCCTTTCCAGCTGGTAGATTTTGGAAGTTTGGATAAGGGGATTGATAAGGTTGCCTTGGGGTCAAGGCAAGAAGATTATTTTTAAAGATTTGTTTATTTATGCATACAAAACTGGGGTACAGACCAGAGGTGCAGGGGCAGTAAGAAGATTCACCAGAGACAGAGTGTGGAGCAGAACAGGCAGATCGACAAGCAGCTTCTGAGGGGAGCAGCAATTTGGTCAGGAGAGGTCTGCTGTGCCATGTGGGTCAACTCTGGGGCCAAGGATCAACTCATACTGAAGCAGCCGCAGCTACCTTGCAAGTGCTACGTCCTAACCTGTTGCGCCACCAGGGAGGGTCAGGAAGACTAATCTTTAAGACCAAAAAAGCCAGCCCAGCTCCAGGAATGCAGAAAAAGAGACGTCAAAGGCCTGCACCACAGACCAAATATCCCAGTAGATAACTCGTGGAAACTGGAGCCCACTTTAGAAAGCACAGGAAAGCATAGTATAAAAGAGAGCCTCAAATCCCCCTCCAGGCACAAACCTCTCCAGTCTTGCCCAATATACCCTTGCAGGGTATTTCAATAAACCCACCTTTTCTGTTATGCACTCTGTACCTGGTGAATTCTTTCACACACACACACACACACACACACACACACACACATACACCACACATCCCATTTCTGGCTTCATCCTGATATCTCTCCATACTACACTGAACTAATATTTACTGTGTGGATCTGGATGTTCAGCAGAGCTTTTTTAAAGTACCCAAGATCATGCAGTTTATAATTGCAGAGTTGAAATTACTTAATATTTATCAGTTTTGTAGAAGACAGTCCAGTTAAAACTGTGAATACATGGCCTCCCTGGTGGAGCAACGAGATAAAGCACAGCGCTATTAAGCTACCCATAGCCACTGCAGCATAAGTTCGATCCCTGGCCAGAGAGGTCACCCACTTGGCATGGCAGACCTCTCCTGACCTCCCTCAGCAGTGTATTTCAGTCAATCTGCCTGTTCTGCCTCCACTCTGTCTCTGGTGAATCCTCTTTCTCCCCCACACCTCTGGCCTGTACCCCAGTTCTTGTATGCATAAATAAATCTTTAAATAAAACAAAACTGTGGCTACAGAGTAGTAGTGATGTGTATAGCACAACTAACAGAAAGACAAAAAAAGAAACACTAATTTTAAACATCTGTGGAATTTAATATATACACAATTAAAACGAACAGGAATACTAAAAAGCTGAAAATATAGTTAAAAACAGGTCAGAAGTAAGAAACCAATGCAAATGATTCAGGAAGATACATAAAACAGAGAAGGATTTGTGTTTCTGACAAATGGCAGCATCCAGTTGACAAATAGCAACTGGATCTAATTTTGCTAGATCCACTTTTCTTACTACCCAGCTTAGTTTCTAATTAAATGGTTTGGCAAAGACATAAGAACAACAAAAATTTATTTTTCAAAGAAAAACAAAAACATAAGTGCAACTCTCGTGGCTGCTGACATTAGCAAGGGCAGCACCATAGGTGTGTGAGTGTAGTAGCGAGAGAATGTCCCTCTCAGGCTGACTCAGAGCTACCCGCTCTTCAGTTTTCAAGAGAAGGAAGAAAGATATATCTAAGAAAAGAACACACAGGAATCCTAATTTAGAGAAATCAAAGCCATATGTCTTATCTCTTGACACAGAGGCACAGAAACTTTAAGTATAAAATCTCTGTGTAAAATGATGTCTTACACGTTTTCTCTGTACTAATTGGAAAAGCATAAGACATGACATAGAATAACTGGATATAATAATGATACTTTAATATGTCAAATCTATTTGTTGTCTGAAGAATTCATTTTATTCTAAAATCTCAATATAAAAAATCACATATATGAGATATTATAAATTGTTATGATGTGAGAGTCTGGTTTAATAAAAGACACATGAAAGTCCCTCCTAACAACAAAAGAGCTGATGTGACAGGTAAATTTACCCTTGGGGGGGTTCAGCATAAATTCTGAGCAGATAACAGATCCATCAGTATTACTTCATCCTCAGAAGCTGTGGCGCATGAGGGGAAAGACTTTAATCCTATATGAACATCATTTTGTGATGGACACCATCCCCAGAGTCTTACAAGGACCATGTAATTTTCTCATCAGATACCTGCAGGAGCCCCATAATGTAGATTTGAGAAGAGCATGAAGCGGAAGTCATGGAAAAAACACTGTGTAGTAGAGAGAAGAAGGTCGTAAGAGTCCATTATTTAAAACCCTAGCAAAAAGCCCACAAGCTACGCTTTGGTTCACTTGTGTGACAATCTAGCGCATCCATTCACGCTGAAACTGACCTTTGCAAAGGAAAGAGCCTTCTTTTCTTATTAATTCAGGGTTTTCCTCTAGTACCATTTCATAATTTGCTAGTGAGTCATGTTTCATGTTCTGAAATGTGGCCTGTCTCACTACAGAATCCATATCTTCCTCATTCAGTTCTTTCCCAAGAAATTTGCACATTTTTGACACAGAATTTTTGAGATCCTGAAATAAATCAGTGTGATAAGTTATGCAAATTATAAGAAAATAGACTTACATAAATGTCACCACTAAAGATCAGAATGGTGAGAAACGATTTCCTGCTCCTTCTTGATAAACTAATCTTCTGTCTGTTGCCATTTTAGAGTTGTTTGTGTTAATTTTAGAAATACTCACAATTCATTAATTCTGCCTTGACTCAGTAAATGTCTTTGACTGCAGTTACTCACATCAGATGCTGCTCTGAGGAATGGTTTCTGAACAGATGGATAACAATGAAATCAGTGTCGGGAATTGCATACAAGTACCTATTGGGACAGGGTAGTTAAATACTTCATTGTGACACAAACAGAAATCTATGTTTATGAAAGGAACTGGTTTTAACTTTCCTTTATGGTAATATGTCTGTGATTTTTTTAATTAGGTATTTTTCTTACATTATTGTAATTCCTGTAGTTCTCCTACCACTGTATCACCTGTAAACCATCACTGTATTCCCTAATGTTCATCCCTCCCCTGTTTTGCACTTCCTCCCACCTAGTCCTCTGCTGTATGCATCGCTTCTATGGTCAGCTTGTTAGTTTTTACTTTTTCTTGACCTTCAGTTTCATTTCTGTGTATTCCACATATTGGTGAGACAGTATTTATCTTTTTCCTTCTGACTAGTTTCAGCTAGCATAACTCCTTCCAGCTCCATCATGCTGCTGCCAATGGCATGCGTTCATCTTTTTGATGGCTGAATAATATTCCATCGTCTAATTATACCACTACTTTTTGATCCACTTGTCTATTGGGTAATTTTGGTTCCTTCCATATCATGGCTGTTGTAACTAGTGCTGCAATACACATAATGTAACAAGGTAGGCTCCTGGAAAAGGGGAGGTCCCAGGTTTCCTGCTCTACCCAAGGGAGGGTGGAGCTGACTCTGTTCTATTCCTATTTATTTAGTTTTTCTAATTAAGATGATTTTGAACACTATATCTGTCAGCAGAGAAATTCTTCCATGTCAGTGTCATTGGGTTCTAGAAGCTGATTTTCTTTATGTGGTGTATTGTTCCCAGGAGGGTTTGCTTGACTTCTTGTAATTTTTTTTTCCTCATTGTTTGCTTTCATGTTTGCTCTTGGCATAGGACCATGTGAACACTGGCACCTGCTGGCATGACTTATGCATGCTTTCACCGGGGCATGTATATATTTGCCAAGAGCTTGGGCTGCTATGGGCAGTGGATAGAGGCAGAGGCATGTGCTCCTATTGCTCTCTCCTCAGCCCCCACCTGCCAGGTCTCTTCTGATGGCCAGTGAACAGTTCTCCATGCTGCCTGTACCACTGTTGCTGCTGGAAAGATTTGGTTGGGGGAGCGGGGTTTCATGGCACCTGTTGACCAAACTGCTGCTGGTGGTTGGCAAGGTGTCCCAGCACTCAAACTGCTGCTGCTAGATGTGATAGCTGGTTCAAGAGTCTGGATTTTTCTAAAAGTTTGTTATCAGTTTTTTTAAAATTGTTTTTATGAGAGAGGCTGGGGCCTCTTTATATCACCATGTTGTTGGTATCATTCCTCACCTATTTTTAAAGCAAAGTCTGCTCTTAGACTTAAGTTTTCCTTCACTATTATAGATAACTACATAAAGGAATCACAAAAGATGACTATGGAGAGTGAGAAGACTCCTAAGGGAGATTAGTAATTAAGGGATGAGCAGAAATTTAGAAACTCAAAACTAAGCCTGAGAAGTAATAGGTATGAAGTTAAATCAAAGGAAACTAAGGTAATAGATTTCTTACCTTCTTCATCTTCTCATACATCATGAATAGAATATTGAAATGATGTCTGTGCTCATACCAGCCTCTGATGTGGTCAAACCAAAGACTTCCTACCACTGTGGGGGAAAATTAATAAGGTAAATATGTGTCACTGATGTACAGGAAAACTGTGGTCTTTCTTTACTGTCCTAGGATAACCAGAAAGTAAAATAAACCCCAACCACTGGGTATTTATGCTACATTTTAAAAATGGTATTTGTGGAAAACTATTATGATTTAATAGAAAGCTGAGTTTTGAGGCTACTCTAGGAAAGTTGCAATGTCAAATAAAAAACTGAAAGAACAAATTTTGATAATTTTAACTATCTTCTTTTCTTACTTTTCCACTAGCAAATCTTCCTTTTCTTATTTATTTTGCCTTTATTCTTTGCCTGTATTATCAATTTTAAGATTGTTAGTTAGCAACTTCAGCCATCTACAATGAGACAAGAACATGAAGAGAGATCTAATTGAGTAGAACCTTAATTCCACATTCCCAAGCTCCTTGCATCAACTTATAAAATTCCACAGCTATAATATATTGCCCACTCCAGATCCATCATAGAACACAAAATCTATATCCACCCTGAATATTTGCTGTTTTAGAACATGTGGATCTAGATTTGAATCTATTTTGAAACGCTAAATGGACTGTGGTTCTTAATGTATCTCAACATGTCTTAAGTGATATACTATTGCAAATTTAATAATCTCCACTCACTGAGGCCATGGGGTAGGAGATTAAGTTGATATACAGTAGTATGTCATTCTACCATCTATCATTGCCCTTCATCTTTGTCCTAAAATGTGTTCCCTAATTTTGAGAAATTGACCAAGGAAGCTGTTGTGTCATAAACATGTTGCTTATAAAATAAATTTATAGTTACCGTTTCCATTTAGAAATTGTTTCATGAAAGTTTCAATGTTTTCTGAAGCTTCATGACAATGTAAAAAAATTGAAAAATAAAAATATGAGATCAAAACATCTTTGGGGTTTATGTAGACATAAACTATCTGCAAATAAATAATTTAAATCTTGATTATTCATAATATATTTTTAAACTCAGAGATATTTAGTACATGAATACATCACATTATTTCTCACACTTTCCCATTCATAGAAATTAAGGTTGTTCCCAATTTTTTGCAATAATGAAATTTACCCACATGACATTCATATGTGCAAGCATATAAACAAATTCCTAAGAAGAAAACTATTTGTAAGGTTTATAAATATTAAAATGTCTTGCACATAACCTTTTTAAAATTTTTAAATTTATCCTTTGTGAGCATTAAGTTATATTTGGTATACTCCCAGGTAGCTTTAGAAAGCAGTGCAAAGGGGAGAAACTGTATAACAAATAATTAGGAACAAATAATTATTCACTCATTCCCAGACCCCTTGTTCTCAGGGATAATGTCTTTGCACCCACAGTTCCTGCTTGTAACTAGGTGTAGGGTCTTGCAGGGGGGCTCTCACTAAGGGCAAAAGTCCTGGTATGAGAGGAGCATACTGGGAAATCATTATTTGCTGAAAATAGAAGGCAGATAATGATGAGCAATGGGCAATAAACATATCAAAAATTTCCTGACCTCATTACTGATTAGGAAATTAAAATTAAGATTTGTATGAGACACCATTTACTAATTATCAATTAAAAATTAAAGTTTTATAGGAAAAA